CTGTGGGTGCCCTGAGTTCCCTTGGGTGGTCGCGGGGGCTGTCATCCTCCAGCATCACCCTGGCATCTCCCCATCACCACAGCTGCCCTGAGGTGCTGTTGGAGGACTTACAGGAGGTTGCATCCCCCTCCCTCCCTCTGCCCAGGAGTTTCGCACCCCCAGCCATCACAATTTTACCCCCTGGCAACAAACTCAGAACTTCCCCTGATACCCAGAGCCCCTTAATCCCGTTTCCAGCCCCAGCTTCGGCACAGACAAACGAATGCTGGGTGGCGGGCAGTACCGGGACCATCCCCTGCCGCTCGTGTCACGCGTCCTGTGCAGCACTAATAGCGTTAACACGTAGGAAACAAAACGGGTCCATAATATTAATAGCGGGAAGGCACAGCCCACAGCTCCCCACGGGCTCGGAACGCAGCGACGCCGTGGACTGCCCCAGCTAACGAGCTGACATTCGAGGCAACGATTCCTGCCACTGAACTGCAGCAACCAAACTCCCACCGCGGAGCGGTTTCCCGCAGAGAATCCGAGCGTCTCCAGCAATCTGCCAACTGCACGGCTAATTTTATTTATTTCTTTTTTAAAAGGGAGTTAAATGCTACAACAATATCCTGAACAGTCAGCGCGCCGGGAAAATGCATCGAGTGCCAGGGAGGTCATTAGTTAGAGCCGGATGAATATGTCGATGCCATTTATCATCACACCTTTCTCTGTACCTCGGGAGGGGATGTGTTTTGGGGCTGGGGTGGCAGCAACTGGGGCCGTCGGTGCTGCCATCCCACTCCTGCATCCTCCCAGCGTGGATTTTCTCCCGGCTCATGGAGACATGAGGGGAACGGGGCTGTGTTCAGGTGGGATCGAGCTGGGGGGATGCATGTCCCTTGGTCACGGGGGCGGGAGAGGTGACCGTCGGGAGGGGACGGCGCGAGGAGGTCACGCTGGGTGCTGCTGCCTGCCCTGCGCCAGGAGATAACGCTGCTCTCTCCGCAGCGATGCCCTTCATGCCCCAGCAGCGGACGGCAATGTCAGTGGAGAGGAGGGAGCTCCGCTCTCGGGACAGGGGCGGAGCAGCGGACGGCAATGTCAGTGGAGAGGAGGGAGCTCTGCTCCCGGCACGGGGCTGCGGCCGAGCCGGCACAGCCGAGGGTGCCCAAACCACTCCTGCTCACCCCTCCGATGGAGCCACCCAGCACTGGGCACCCACAAAATGGGGGGTGGCAGGGGTGGGGGTCCCCAAGCTGGGGTGCAAAGCAGGGAGCCTGTGGCCAGCCCCCGGCCAAGCGCATCCCCACCGTGCTAGGGCGACGCTGCTGCCTGAGCAACTCCCTCCTCCGATGTCCCGTCTTTGGTCACTTCCAATAAATTAAGGGTCAACACGGTGTGGGCCAAGCCCTGACAAATCCGGATGATGAATGACCCCCTCCTACCCCTACACTGCCAGGGAGGACAGGCAAGAAGCTCCCACCACAGTGCATTCCTAATGAGAAAAAAAATGCTCCGCTTCGGCAGGGAGATGGGTAGAAAACAGCCATGGGCGTGCACCCCTCCCCTGGACCCCCTCCCACCCCTCTAGTGCCAGTAAGCAGCTGAAACATCACAGTCTGCAAG